CAGAGGTAGTTACATTTTAATTGAGGTCAAAATGGTCCTGTGCAGAAAGAGCCCATCTTGGCATCACTCATTGAGGATGTTTGCCATTTAGAAATTAATTGGTTAAGTAAATAAGATTACATCAACTCCTTGCTGTACTGTAAGAAAATTTACACCTATTAAGGACCAGGAATTGTTTTTGAAATTTATTACACATAAAGGAGGGCACTTTACTTTTATGCCTTCTATTTGGGCAGGTTTCTGGATAGCATCTGAATATTATCTGTAAAGTAGCATAACAACCCTAGAATTCTAGTGGAATACATTTGCTATGAATTACTAGCATCTCACCCCTGGTCACCCGGAGAACGAGCTGGCACAGCATTTGATTTTCATGGTCAGAAATGTTGAAATAAATAAGTTATCTCATTGCCACAGCTGGAGAAGGAGAGGAGATTAGCTGCAGCCTCTCCCAGCGCCGAACAGGGTGAACAGCTGGCCCCAGGGTTCGTCTGCTTCGCTCGCATGCAGAGAGCAGAGCAGACTGAATAGCTGCAAAACAGGAGCCTGAAAAAAACAAGGGCCACTGTCTGCGTGCTGTACCCCCGCACCCTTCTCTCAAGTCGCACGTGCCAAAACGAAGGACAGAGTGGTTCCAACCGTTAGCTGGCAAAAGGGCTGGCTGACGAGCCACAGCTCCCGGTGAGTGCCCAAAGAACGAGGAACATCTCTTCAAACACCAGCGCCTTTCCTGAGCATTAGTTTCGGAAGGGTTTGGGATTTTTACATTTGAGAAGCTAAGGGACAGTCTCCCCTGCACAAACACTAGCAACAGAAAACTTTTTAACAGCAAAAGGCCCTTTGGTTCAAAGTCAGTAAAAGTACCATTTCTACCACTTCACTGTCCCAGACACCTTCCACAACAGCTGACTGTAACACTGACAGTCCTAAATAAACTAATTGCGTTTAACCCTGCCCAACACTGAATCTAGTAATTGCCCCAAATGAAGAGCTCCATTGCTGTGCACCATCACCCCGTTCTGCTCCACGGGAGAAGGAATTTCATGGCAGGAAGGCCAGACAAACACACATACGCTTTGTGGGCCAAAGTACCCTGAGACAACATTTTAAACTGTACCAACTGGTTAGCTCTGCTGCAGTCCAACTATTCCCTGCAAAAACACACTGGACATTAGAATCACCAAGCAAGTGTGTGCCTTCTGGGCTCTAACTGTTCAGAAATAGCCATGATATTCTGTCATTCCCCCTGCACAGCCCCTCCAGCCCTTCCTCATCAAGCTGTTTCCTCTCTTTGGGTGGCATCAGGGCCTCAGAGCTTCCCAGGCAGTGCTCTCCTCACACAGACAGGCACAGCTCCCACGTGGAACAGACCAGACCCAAGGAGGTGTGGGTGACTGCAGCAAATGGTGCTTTGGCACTAACCAAGCAAGCTCAGTCTGGATAGGCACAATTGCAAGATCATCCCCAAAACACTGGTAAGAACACTCCATGCTAAAAGCGGCGCAGCAGACTCTCCTATTCCCAAGCCCTCTGCTAAACTAGGTCGCCAACACGCAGGTGTCTGGTGCTATCTGAGATGTCCTCAGGCTCCACCTGCCACCCGAGAAGGGAGTGCTCCCTGGGAGGTCCCGTGTCATACTGCCAAACCCATGCAAGCATGTCTGATACTATCTGACATCTAAAACACTGGTAGAGGTGACATCTGCCATCAGAGTTGCTTTCCTACCATGCTCCTCAGATATTATCATTCTATGTGCACTCACTTTTTGAAAGCTTGGCAGATGATTGAAAAATGCCTTCCATGCTTTTTAGTCAAAGTGATTCTGACCTGCAGAATTTCCAGGGAAACATCAGCATTCAATAAACCCCTCTTGCTGCTGGCCAAGCGCTCGCTGCAGCCACTGGCAGGACAACAAATGGGCTGTTCTGTGGTTGCTCTACCCAATTCTACTACATTTATTCAGCTGGTTAAGGCTATGAAAAGTAGGAAGCATGCAAGAGTGGAAGCAGAAGGGCACACAGCAAAGCAGACAATTGGCTCATGCCCTGCTTCTTCTTCTCCTGACTATCTACCATCAATACCCTACACACCTTTCCCTCTGCTTGTGAAGACAGGCGCTCTCCGGCATGTTTCCATGCGGCTCAGAATCAGTTAGGCAAGCTAATGAATAGCAATGCAGCTGGCACTGTGCAAGAAGAATACTGTTCCCCTCCCTCTGCCCTCCAGGTATCTCTGCTTGGAGAAGATGATACACACGGTACCTCTCCTCCTGGGCTAAGCAGGCTTGCCAACAGGCAGTTGCGATGAGGGCAGTTTCCCTAGGGTATGAAGACTTTTTGATCCCTTCCCTTTCCCCTCCTGCCTCCTCTGCCTGCCTACGGCTGCCATCCCTGCCTGCGCAGCCACGGCCTGGACAGCAGATCAGCAGCACGGGTGCTGGCAGGCAGAGGGGGCAAAACCAGTTTGCTACAGTGCTGGAAACAGGTTCTGTTGGCCCCACAATTAACTGCCGAGTTTCTGCCTTTTGTAGGAGCAGTCAGGATCACACCTTTGATTCATCCCACAGGGCAGGAACTGGAAAATTCTGTACTTGTACTGCTCAGGGTGAACAAAAAGAAATACCTGCCCAGAGACGTCGCTTGCGCGCCACACCAAACGTGACGTGGCCAGCGCCACTGAACAAGGAGAGACACCACTTTCACCAAGGCTCTTGGTATCGATAGAATTTGAGTCTTCTGTAATGGCTGCAGCACAGAATTAAATAAAAATGGGCTTTAAACCCACGAATATTTTCAACCTCTTTGGACTTAAAATTGAAAAAATTATCCAAAAATTCCGACTGAGAGTTTGCTGTTGTGGAGTCTTTTGGGAGTTTTGGTTCCCATTCCCCCAGGTGACCCACACTGCACCCCATCCTCTGCTTCCCACCCAGTGCAAAGTGTCTCTAACACTGCCTCGCCAGCCAGAGCTTGGGAGATACAAACTGCCTGTGAGCCTGAACTACACGTACAAATGGGACATAACGACACAAACAACAACTCTCCCCAGCTCCAGAAGGAGCCTCATGGACTTTTGTTGGTTGGAGCATATCAGGTCATAGGTGAAGCTCTCAGTGGAAAGTTGAATCTTTCCTTCATGTAAAGCCCAATCTTTCAAAAACAAGTCCTGGAAAACCTTAGTTTTTGCACTGAAAACCAAAACTTGCTCAGAGATTCCTCCTTTATAACTTTTCATCTGTTCAGTGCAGCCTCACTGCCAGCAGCACGAAGCAGAAGCCTACCTGTACATGCGATTATTTCGGTTTCCTCCAGATGCATAGGCACAGATTCTGATCGCTTTAAAGTGATGCCAAAGACAGTAATCTCTGATAGCACCGAGAGTCAGACTGATAACAGGCAAGTTTAAGCACTAATCGTGTGATAATTACATAGCTGCCAAAAATACATATGTTGGCAGCATGCAGAAAATACAAAGTTTGGAATACTTTGGCAAAGCAAAGACAACCTTCTGCCATCGTTCACCATGCAACTGAGCTCTGTGTAGTTCCCTAGGGAGCTGTCTTACCAGGCACCAAACAAGCACTTTTTGGAGAGCATCTATTCCCAAGCCTCCTGTCTCCACAAGTGACTGACACGATCTGTAGTTGTGTGTGTTAACTGGGAGGTTTTTCCCACTACCCACCACAGCATCAACAGAAACCCCTTCACCGCATACACCAAAGTACATCCAGAAGTTGTGACGAAGATGTCTGCTGCAGTTTCATGGCTGATCCCATCTCAGGTCTCGAGTCAGCAGGGCGCCAGCACTTGTGCTGGCCTTTAAGCGTGTGAGAATCAAAGGGAACCCTGAAAAGTTCTTTCACTGGATAAGATCACTGAGATCAAGAGGCAAGAGCCCTTCTTTTCCTCACAGTCTGGCCTCTTACATGGATACAATAAACCACACACAGAAGTTTAATATTCACCAACTGAAAACACTCAGGAGGTTTAAGAGCTGCCATGAAGCGCTGCTGGCCATTTTATCAACGATCTCTGTCTTAAACATATCCTCATGCCTTTCGAATTGTTCTTTTTCCTGCCGACCCATGAAAGAGAGAAGAAACATCTCGTGTTTAAAATTCAGGCATTTTGCTGGTGTGTACAGACAGTGCCTAACATCTCAATTACACGAGATCATTAGTCATCAGACTGACCTGTTACCACCCAGAGGCCCACACTGACCATTCAAATGGGCTTTCAAAGGAAGACTCCAGCCAACGGCCAGAAATCCTTAATGGCTGCGGAATTCAAACTGAAGGAGTTACAGAAAAGGAGCAAACACTCACCAAGAAGCTGAAATTCCCCAGGAATAACATGGACACATAAATAATCACCAACTGTTTGTCACCACAGAATTTCTTGATATTTCATTGTCACATACGCATTTATTGTAGTATCAGGCCAAAACATGGTTGCCTGAACTCTCCTGTTTTACATATCAAAAAAAAAAAAATACTGCTACCCTTTTTCCTGTGTTACTAAAATTACTTGTGTCCTACAGCACAAGGCATAGAAGCCACAATATTTAAGTTACCTAATCAACCTGTTGAAAACGATCAGTGAGGCATGCAGAGGGAATCTAACCTTTGTCCTGATTTACTCACCCACCTTGTTAGCTGCCTAACAAGAACTCTCTTTTCCCCTCTCCTTGTAATTAATCAACATAAATATTTGTAGTGTTCACTTACAAATAAGGGCATGAAAGTAAAAGAATGTACTTGATAATCTTATCTAAATGCTCCAGCCAAACCAGAGCATTTTTAAAGACATAACAGGAATTAAAATACAAATTGTCTTCCTTGCTCCTCCCTGCACGTACAATTGTGCTATACACTTACAAAGTTGTGAGAAAGTGCAAAATTGTAATCGCAGGACTACAGCATCCAGAGCTGGATATTCTGAACATCTTAATTTCCAAGCAAATAACCCTGAGAAAATGGGAGAGGGAAATCCATACTCACCTGAACGTGATCTGTCCAATTCTCCTGAGTCATGGTTTTCTGAAAAGACAAAATTACTTCTGAGCTGTCTTAGAAAAGGAAGAATGCTGCATACAGCAAGCTGAAATTTAACACGCCATCTTACACACTGGCATCGACTGTGCGCGAGGAATGTGCTCTGGAGCACACGGGAAACCTCTGCTTCTCGTATGTCACCAGCCGGGGCATGGCAGAAAACCAGAGCTCAGACGAAGTAATTCAGACAACTGCTACACTACAGCACTTAAGACAAAAAATTCCACAGGCAACCGAAGTACACAGGCAATGGCAGGCCCTTACCCAGCAGTAGCTCAAACTCTTGTTATTACCAGGGGCCTGGGCTCACTTGCAGAAAACCGATCACCTCAACAACACTCTGCAAAGTGCAGCAGCATTTCTGAATGCCTCAAAGCTCATGTGGTGCTCTTGCAATGACAGAGACATCCCTGAGCAAAGCTGAAACAGGCCACGGTCAGGGATCATCTGCAAGGCTGAGCCTTCAGAATACAAACACACAGACTTTTCTCAACAGCCAAGCCATGAAAAGCCTCTGGAATCATGAGGTCTGGGAAAGGAAACTGATAAGTTAATATCCCCATTCCAGCCTAGTTCAGAGCCAACTTTGGGAAGAAAGTCAGGATGGGACCTACTCTCCACCCTGCCAAGAACAGAGGCTGCATGAGACTGCTCAGCCACCGAGGCCTGAGCCGCACACCCACTGCTGGCAGAGGTAACAGTGATGACTGGTGCCACTTTTATGGAAAGGTACAAGAGCAAACAAGGAGTAAAAGCCTCAAAGAAAACATCTTTGAGACATACAAGCATGTAATTTAAATACTAGTGAGATAAAGGAGCCGTTTAACTAGACCTCATGCACAGCTGAGAATGGTAAACAGAGAACACCAAAGAGCTCTCAGAAGAAGGGACTGTGTCCAGAAACAGCTGCCAAATGTACCTTAATGGAAATAAGTGGCCAGCTTGGATACTTTAAATAAAGCAAATACTCCAAAACAGAGGAAATGGAAGGCCAGAGAGAGCAGAACACCAGATCAAGAATCCATTCCACTCTGCTAAATAAATACACCTGGATAAACGCTTCCTACTCTCTCTCTGCAGATGACCAAGCTCTCTAGAATGATGCCGTCCAACATTAAAGCTCTGAGATGCCGGATGCTGAAACGCTCGATGCTCCCCAGGTCTTCTGCCAGTGGATCTGGCAGGCAGCAAAGACAGATCAGAGCTTTCACTGATGGATCAGGAGGTCTTGGAAGCAGAACCGTCTGTGCCAGAATGGTGTCATCAGATCACCACCACTCAAGCCCATCTTCGTGTTCAAATTACTGGGGGGTGGGGGATCAGAAAAAACACATGCCTCTGCCGTCTTCTGTCAGACCATCAAACAAACCTTCTTTTGAACAAAAGAACAGGCACTTCTGGAGGAGGTGTCTCATTTCCTGAAAACTGGCTCTCTGAAGACTGGATCATTAGTACTGCAGGAACATCTGAACAACCTGCTGGGCTCTGGTAAAACTCTGTTAAAAAAGCCTCTTGTATCTACAAGGAGAAAGTCTCCCATGAACTGCAGATGAAACATCACTCCATGTGTGGCAAATACAGCTTGATAATTCAAAATTCAAGAAATGGAAACATTTCACTATGATATTCAGTCTCTGTGGTCCTTGTCCTTCACAGTCCAATTGATACACCTGGATACAACAATTGCAAGCTGTTTTTTTCCAGAAGAGGCAGAAAACCCCCTTACTTTCAGCGGGTACAATCTGTCTCCAGGCACAGGATCATGATGAATGCCAGCCCACCAAGAGAAGCACCAAAACTGCCCTGTTAACAAGATGACAAACATGCTCCCCGATGCAGTGTGCTCAAGAGCATCCAAAGGGCAGTGACTTGGCTCAGTACACTCATGAGAGGGGAGGAGAAACCATAGTCAAGTAATTCTGCAGAGTCAACCTCCGAGCTGCCTCCTGGAAACCTGCTCCTTAGAGAGAATTAATGGCACCTTCTCATTTCTACAAGCCCTCAGTGCCAGGACAAGTACCAGTGTACTTGGAAAAAATCCGGAGGCTGGACAAAAGTAAAGTTAGTTCAGAGTGGTTCAGGAGCTGAAAGTACTACCACCTTGCTCAGCAGTAACAAGGCTGTTAGCACAAAAAAGCTTCGGTGGCAGGTTTGGGCTATAGCTATGACAGCCCAGCCACAGGTACCAAAGCAAAGTGCCTACAAAGAACTTAGTCATGTGGAATGCTTAAAACTAGTGTTCTTAAAAAAAAAAAAACGAACCAAACAAACCCACGCAAAACCCGCAACAAACAATACCACCAAAAAACTCTTTAGCCACTATGCTCCTGCTTATTTGAGATGGCTGAGAGAAACTGAACATATGAGAGCCCTGACCTACCTACATGTGGCCCAGGTCACTGCTGAGGACATGGAGGTGAACAAGCATCCAGCTCTGAGTAATCATGAACCCCAGTCACCAGAATATGAATGGACACACAAACGATTCACTCACAGAAAAAACAGGTCCAATTGCATCTCTATGCAATAACAATCACAATGGAAACTTGCTCATACACTAATCACACATTTCAATCATGTCAATTATGTTATTCGAAACACAAAATAAACAAAAAAGCTCATTCAGACCCATGCCACACAATTCAGAAACGTACCTCAACAAACCTCTTGTAAAAGAGGTAATTCAGAGTTCTCAAGTGCCGTTGATTTATGACATTAGGGCAGAGAGCTAAAAGAAGGAAAAAGAGATTTAAGTATACAACATAGCTGAACTTCCTTGAAGTTTTACTGCCTAGACATTACATTTTTCCTTCCCCAATTCCCAAGGCGGTGTGTGGAAGGCAGGATGCCATCACGCTTGGAACACTGACGGACAGAGACACGTATTGTCATCTTATCTAAACTATAAACTGTTATTTACACTTTCAACCATGATTAGCAATGCTAATCCTCGGCTACTGATATCTCTGGTTCTACCACCCTTGAATGATAAGATCCACTTGCTGGTTCAATACCCTTCACAGTCAATGTCTTCACACTTTTAATTAGGTAGCATCCTCACACAGGCACCACCTCTGGTCTCTAGAGGCTGCATTCTTTTTGATTTAATTGGAACCTGTGCTGCTAATGCATTGAAGCAGTTTTGAACATGTTACTCAGGATATAAACTTGTGGCTAAAGTTTATTGGATAAATACATATCCATGAAAGAGACTCCATATCCATACAAAAAGGGAGGTGACTATTGTTCTGCTGAGCTAGCAAGCAACAGTTGTTGTTGTTATTTTTATTACCGTCATCTTCATTAGATATGCCTCATTAACACTGCAAAACCCAAGATCTTCACATAGCACCTTGTTTTGAAATCCAGTGGAACGAGAGATAAATGCAGAAGATAAAATACATTAACCAGTATTAGCATATGTATCTGTCAGTTCTTGCTAGATGCTGGTATGCATGTACAGGAGAGATTTAACCAAAGCCTTCACTGGGGTTTCAGTGGCTAAAACCATCTCAGTGGTAGCCGGAAGGAGCAGGACCAGCAACCAGAAATGGTAACAGAAAACAGTAAAATGAAAGTCCTCGCAGCCTCCCTTGAATCAGCGCACACCAGGGGAAACCAGTGTTACCAACTCAAAGGGCCTTGGAGCTTAGCACTCTCGCTGCCCCACACATTGCATGCCCAAGGATTAAAAACTGAGAGAACAAAGAAAGATCTCAGGACACCAGACCCTGGAATCAGAGGGATATGAACTGATGCACCACTGGGTACTGCAGCCCCTCAGACTCTTAAAGCATCGCTTCACAACTTGGACTTTTCCATCTCAAACAGAAATCTTTAAAGCTGTTATTAAGTTAATGTGTGACAGTGTGACAACATATCCTGGCCTTCAAAGGATCTGAGGAAATTATTGCAATTATCTTGCAAGATGTTATTCCAATAAATACGATGATCTTTCCTCCAGATTTTATCTCAATATACAGAGGAAAGTTTGTCAGCTCATGGAAAGCAACACTCTAAAGAAGGCAAGATCAACATAAAAATTAAGAGTATCATCAACTAAAAGATTTCAAAGCACTTCAGAAAGAAACACAGCATGACTGCTCTAGGTCACCAAAAAGACCCATTGACCCTTTTTTCTTTGAGCTTCTAAGGAAATACCCAAAGCACGGGACATGGCAGGGATTTTAAGTGCCCAGCTATCTGTGCGGAAATTAGGATGGAGGAACACGGACTGGAACAGTTTTGAAGGCACTAGTGTCATTTTTTATTCTAACAGAGCAAAGGAATTGATTGAGTTTGAATCCAGCTTTTTGTATTTCCTTACAAAAAACAGAGAAGGACTAATTTAAAACATGAGGATGAAAGGTAACTTGGTAAGAGACAACAAAATGAAGAGTTCAAAGCTCTGAAGAAAGGCAGAAGAGCAAAATAAAACCAACAAAATGGACTTCAACAAACTCAGAGAACTGGCAGGTAAGATTTCATGTGAAAATAATTTATAAGGTGAAAAGGAGTTAAGAAGCGCTGGAACTGGAAGTGAAGTATGAGGCTAACTGCTAAATCAGAAGCTTTTAGTGATCTCAGACACAAGAAGGAAGTTCAAAGAACATGGAAACTGGATTCCACACATCTAAAAGAACAGCACAAACACATACAATCAGAAAACCCAAAGCCATAAAGGCAAGACAAATTCCAGATAGCCTTTTGGAGAAAAAAAACCAAACCAAACCAAAACACCAAACAAAACCCAATCCAGACCTAATGGCATAGGTTGTATCAGAGATGGTAAACTTGCCACCTTGGAGGTCTTTAAGAATCGGTTCCACATTCCATAGATACCAGAAAAACCAGGAGGAGCTCCTTTGGCTTTGGGGCAGGAAGGTGAGGCAGGTGGTACTGCAGAGTTGTTGCCAGAACTTTTCCCTGCAGTTTCATGAGCATCTACACCTTATATTTGCAAAAATCAAAGTGCTTCAGGGAAGAGCAAGTTACTTAAGGTCACACACCTAGTTAAGAGTGAACAGGAGTCTGAACACAGGTCTCCTGAGCCAAAACCAATGTTTTGTTGGTTGGAACAAAAGATAACATCCTAAGCTTTTCAGAACATGGACCATCTTTCTATTCAGTGGTTGTACAATGGGGTTTTGGGATCACGGCTGTGCTGTGGAGCACTAGCGGAATACAAATGGTTCAGTACTATGAGAGCACTGCTTTGGGCGCCTGTTAACTCTTAACCTGGAAGCTGCACCACAGCAGTGCTTCATCTGAACTACATTTCACATCTGGGACTGACTCAGAAGCAAAAAATCCAGTCTGCTCTCGACCGTTAGCAGAGAGTCAATGGCTATTAGCAACACAGAGGAAGGAAAAATGAAACCTGTTTGTCACGGAGGGCTCACTCATGTAACGTTGGTAAGATTTGTCTACTGGGGATCTGGTGCAATACATTTTTAGGTGTGGTGCACAGCTACCACTCCCTGGTGATACATGATGCCTCCTGAGCTGGGATGTGGACCCAGTCCTCTCTTTACTCTGCTCCAAGAGTTTGACATCCATTCACAATGAGACTCCTCCACCCTGTCCTGGCAGAACAGAAGGTCCCAAACAAAGCACACTTTGTTTGGGGACAACGTAAAGGAGCCTTTTTTTAATAAAATCAGGGTACCTGAAACGCTAGAGGCTTTTACCCTGGTATGGCGAAGGATTGTCAGAGAATCTGATGAGAAACAAGCTGTGCATGAGTCTCTCAGTGTATTATGAGATTAGTCCCTAAGCATGAATTAGTGGAGAGCAGGGCTGGACTCTTTTTATTGTAGCCTCAAAGATGCATTAGTGCCTCTCAAAATGCTCTGTGCCACTAGAGATCAGGGTCAGTGGTCCTCAGAAAGGAAGGTGAACAGCACAAGCCTCAGGTTACCCCCAAACCCCTGAGCTACCTGCTGGCTTTGCTGCCTGGAGCACCAGCTGACTGGAGGAAAACCAGAGAGCACAGCACAAGGGTTTCGATCTACGCTTAAAGGAAAAGAAGTGCTTCAGTGTGGTCTTTAGACACGTGTCTGGATGTGGTGAATTCATGCTCAGAACTGCAAGGGTAGTGTCAGCTTTTCCAGCGAAAAGCTTGGAGCTGCTGGCCAGCTTGTCCTGGTCTAGAGCAGATCATATTCCACCGCCTGTACTTCAGTAGACAAAAATGTAGCTGAGAAGGTAAGGGCCCAGAAAGGACCCTGGCGTGTCCAAGCCCCTTCTCCTTCAGCACTTGACTCTGCAGCCACCGCAGCCTCAGGAGTGGATGGCTCCTACCTTTCTGATGGCTAAGGCTAGAGGTTCTTCTCAGTCATAGTGCTCTGATATTTAACAGGAGAGCTAAAAAACTCTGAAGGAAAATCATGATGGAAGCAGGGGGAAATAACCCATGTAAAGCAAATGTAAATGGAAGGGGTAACCTTCTGCTCTGTTTTAATGAGGAAAAGGTAAAAACATTTGAAATTTCCTCCTTCCAAAGTCATTCCTGCAGCGTTGTAACAGTCATTCCTGTCTCTCTAACAGAGCATCTTTTAAAAGCGCCCAGTGTAGGCTCCCACGAGTCCCTGCTGGAGCTCTCCCTGGTGACTCCCCTGCGCCACGCTCTCCGATCTCGCAGACCTGATGGAGTCTTGAGGACAGTGGTGACTTACCTGAGCAGATGCACAGGCTGCTGAGCAGCCCTCGTCTGCCCTCTACTGCCCCAACACCAACGGAGTGATAACGCTTTATCTCACAAACCAACTCTGAGGCTTAATAAGGAAGATTCACACCAAACGGAAAGTAAAGGTGAAACCAAAAGGATAGCCTGGTGGTCAAATGAAGAGAAACATTTCTCGTAGTTTATGCTAAAAAAGCTTTTGTAAAGACTATGGTAAAAGCACATTCATAGCATTCAAAACTTCAGATGCTCAGCTAATCTATTACACTGCTACAGGACAATGACAACTGTTAAATGTGCCTCCCATTACCATCTCTTTCCTACCGACACCACTGTATCTGCTTTACTGTCATACAGGCACTAAGGCCCAACATACGAGGACAGTTCTGCTTTTCAGAGTGGTATCATTTCTACCTCATATCCAATGAGTTTTCAATGAAAAATGCCACTGAACTCTCCATGGTACAGTGGCCGTGAAAAACACAATAGAAAATAGACTCAACCATTCCAAACGTAGGTAGGGTCTGTTCCCTCATCTCTGAGAACTGTTCGACTGCAACTTGCATTTGTAAATCTCAGTCAATCTCACAGGGTCTCCAAAGAGTATTAAGCAATCAGCCTGCAAAAGCTACAGGCTCGTTAAACCAGAGCATAGTGACCCACGTGTGAGAAAAGACTCTATAAAACTCAGTTTCCTCAGTCACATACCATTTCTGCCCAACTTCTTCCTTCCCTAATAAAGCTAATTAAATGGAATCCACACAGTTTATTGGGACACCTTTGGGACTTGGCAGAAAATCTTCCACTTACCATGCAACTCTTGTGTGTGTTAACAGGAACACTGGAATATGGTTTGGAAAAAGAAGAGGTGGACTAATCTAAGATGATTGCTTTTTTCCCCCCCCGAGGTTCCAAATCCTTTTTATATTGGGCCACCTCCTATCTGACTCTGAAATTTAAGACTGACAGTTCCAAGGAGTGTTTGAAATCTTAATGGCTGATCAACACCTAAGTTTTGCTTAGCAGTCAGTGAAATTTACTGTGAGTGGGTAAGAGAGAGCCTGGGTAGTGAAATATGAAAGTAGATTTGGAACTGCAAGAACTGAGTCATATACAAGTTTGCCTTCTCATATCAAGAAACCCTGTCCTCCTCCAGTCTTTCTCACTGAGAGCCACTTCCCTCTGCTGCTGCTCCTCTCAGCCTCTTTCAGAGAGCAGGAGTCATGAGTGACGAGGAGGCAGAAAGCAGCAGAAGACTGTGGCATTGAACAAGTCCACAATCAGGTTAGGTAACGAGAAGTGTGAGTTTTGCCCCACCGCCAGCTTCTGGCAGAGCTGCTTGGAATAGGAGAAACGAGGGGGGTTTTAATCTGTATGTTTGACCTAGACTGCTTCATTTTTGTATGCTCTTTCCTCACAACCAGATTTACTTCCACTAAAGAATGGAGAAAGAACATCCAGAAATTCAGAGGAAGGGAGGGAGAGAGGTGGGAAGGAAAGAAAAGCCATGTTATTCCAGCTGCCACCATTTCACAGTTCAGTTCAAGCAGGACCATCACTAAGGCAGAAACCCCTCTGTAGGCTTTCATCCCCTTCCACGGCGTTTCAAAGGAGACTAAGATGGCCAAGGTTCAGCAAAGTGTGAAGTCCTGCTCTGGACTACGTGTGATATCATGTAAAAAATAAACATCTGCTTTCATATATGGGACTCAGAGTCATCCAACGCTGGTTTTAGCTGCCCCAAATCTGGTACCTTGTTTAAATCAGTAGCCCATATCCCCTCTCACATCAATAGAGGTGGAGAGCCCTCGCCAGCAAGTGACTTATCCTGCACTGTAGACACCGCAGTTTGGGTGGGATAAATCACTCTCTGGAAGCGTAGGCAGGAATGGGATCTGATGTATACATACAGATGGTGTAACCTCCTCACTAGTGAATGTGTTGCGGAGGACCAGCAAGATTTGGCCATTACTATCAGCAGCTACAACATCTGGGACACCATCATCAGGAGCTACATGCTCCTCTCCTAGACTTTTTTTTTAATTTCTCAGGATTTTGCATGTGAACAGTTATATCATTTCACCTCTACAGTTAATATCATACTCTTGGTGGATCTTTCATAAGGAAAGAGGAACAATTCAATTCTCTTTACAGATCATAAAATGATCTGTAAAGAGAATTGAATGACCTACTGAATGACCAGCCCTGTAAAGGAGGAAAAATTAGTGAAGATCAGTAAACCCCTAGGAAGGTTTTAGATTTTAAACAAATCACCCCCCAGGTCTCAGTTTTCACATCAATGCACAAAGTTTAATTACATTTACTTATCCTCCAGTGAGGGTTTGTAAGGATTATCTTCTGAACTTTTGAACACCAGTCTGAAGATGTGAAGATTAATATGCAACATAGCGCTGCTGCCAGGTGTAATAAACTCACAATTTGTGGTTAGAAAACACTTTTCAGTCCAAGAAAAGAGAACTGCATACCTTGTGCTGATGATGGAAAGCTCTGCAGGGTAAAACCTAATGGTGCCCTTAAAGGTGTCTGACACAAGGTCCCAAAAAAAGAAAAAAAGATCAACAGTCCCTGCTAACAACCAAAACAAAGCAAAGTAGATTTTACTAGATAAGTGGTAGTGAAGCAGATCCATTCAGTAATGTAAAATGAGTTACTTCTCCGAAGGCTGTGAGAGCCTTAAAATTCCCTTCCACCAACCCTAGTTTATGCAAGGAATACAAAGGGCTGTGAGGCTCCTGCTTCCCAAGGGTTATCTCTTCCCAGCTGACGGACCCATAACTCAAGAAAACAGATCCCCAGATGAATAATGACTTGCCTCTTATGTGAGTGGAATGGAGGCATAACTCAAAGCTGACCATCATGTGTTTACGTAGAGCCATTCTGAGGTCAAGATTTATTTCATATCATGGAAGAAGCAGTCTATTAGTCACAAGCACTTCATTCTTTGACAACACAAAGTGATAATTCCCATAACTTACCAGCTTTGTTTTTCAATATCATTAATTAAACCCTGAAACTCCCCATGATAAATTACAGCAGAGATTCCTTGCTGAACATGGAAGACGACAAATTGACTTCATCTGTTCTTTATCGGCGAGAACTCCACAATATGTTGCAATATCACATACCTGGATCTACATTAAATCGGTCTAGGAGCCTGAAGACCAGCTTGCTTAGCATTTTGCGGTTAAATTTATCTGGTTTGTACCTGGACAGGCCTTGATACTGTCTGCAAGCAAATAAACAAAATCAGAAAGAAACATCTGTGGAATCACCTGAAACATGTTTCCCAAATAGCAGATATTTAACAGTAGGGGTATTCTGGTTTGCTAGCTGTTGGTAAGAACACAGTCCGGTACCTTTCTCAAGTTACAGCAAAAAGCCAACAACAACCACACAAATTTCCCAGTCAATGACTGAAGCAAGTCCAGGGGCTTATTTTAAAGAGTGAGCAAGCGAGCAATTCCCTCTCATCTTTTTTCAGAGCTAAGACTGCAGCCACTGCATCTACACTGTGAGTTTGACTGTACTGTTGGCTTCATGACCGACAGGAGCTATTCTAGTGAGAGGCAATTTAGAAATTAAAACACACGCGACTATTTCATGAGCACATAAAGGTCAACCACTTGCACCTCTTGTTTTTCTGCCACTTCATCACAGTATTATCTTCCTGCAAAACCTGTACAACCGATACTGAAACGCAGCAAAGCACAAGAGTCTGATTGCTACAACCTCCTGGAGGAAGCTTTGATAGCTTTATATTGCTAAGATCTACTGCGCAGGTTTCATTTTGCACTCCTCTCTCCTGGCAGGAACTGAGCAGCTGTCAATAGGAATGATACCTCTGTCTTACAGGACGAGGCGTTTGAGAAGACTCTGGCACAGGCACCAGAATTTCCCCTTTCTCAGCTGAAAAGTAAATATATTGCACTCCATTACACTGAGAAACGATCTTAGACAACCAGAGAACATACTGTCCTCTGACTGCAAGTTGGCCCCAGCTGTTTAGAAAGTCAACAAGAGGCTCTACCTTGTGATGTCTCTGATATTAAAACCAGGTTCACACCACGTGTCCAGGATCTGCAAGAGCTTGCTCTGGAGCTCAGGATATTCTCCCACATAATCTTCCACCAAGTTAGTTTTATCTTGCAGCAGTAGCGGCGTACACATCTAGGAGAAGAAATCACATTGAGCGTGCCGTGTCCTGCCTTTGATCACCGTGTTCCACAGACCGAGCGCAGCAGCCCACAGAGGGCACAGAAGAGGTCCAGACCTGGCAGACTGAAGCGTGGCAGAGGGCTGTGGCTGTCCCACTCCCTGCTGCTCAGACATGCCGAGCAGGTCACAGCCCCCTGCTTAATCAATCAGTGCTGCCTAAGAGGCTGACGCGACACTTTCAACACAAACATCAGCAAAGCTTCAAAATAGCATCACAGTGACACCATATCCATCGCAGTGACAACCACTTGTCAGGAACACAGCTAGAATTTTTTGTAACAGTGGCTGCAGCTAGAAACCCAGTCCCCTACACTGCAACGGGGTCTCACAAAATACACTCTGCCACTTCGCTAGGTGTAAAGGTACATCAGTCGTGCAGCAGTTACTTCTTGGGAACAAAATAAAGGCTCAAGTGAAAGGCAGCACAACTTGGAGGGCCTTGATGGATCTCCTGCTTAACAAAAGGTGGAACCGATGACAGAGAAGCCTGCAGAGGAAATGACTCACCTTCTCCACATCTTGATCTGGCTGTAATTTTAGCTTAATGCTCAGCATGGCTGCCTAGAAAATACAAAAAAAAAAAAAAAAGTTGTGTATTTAGGAAAAGAACACCACAGTGGATAAATGGACATTATTCCAAAGCGAAGTATAGATGCTATTATACAAATTTTTAATGTCTTAATGATTACTGTTAAATTGTCAAGTACAAATCATGTAAACATTTGGCCACATACATTCCACTTAGAAACGTACACGAACACCCCCCGCAGAGTTGCATATTCCAAGCAGGAGCAGCACACTGTGGAGCAAAAATTAAAGTTCAAGTTGTCTGGCAGAAAGAGAGAGAGAAAGTAAAGTGCCTGGACAAAATCAGCTGAGATGGATATTTTCTATCAACGTAATTGTAAAAAACACCCGACCCACCACACCGTTCTGAGTTCACTTTATCCATCTGGCTGTGCCTTTCAGATTTTGTAAAATGGTTGCATTTTGTGAAAGCAACTCAAGATTTAAAGGACCCTGAAATCATGAGGTCTTAGATTTGTAATTTCTGCGTAGCACCTCACCCCTGAAAGCGCTAAGGTTCACCACAATCAGACAGACGGTAAGAACTGAATTTTTCCCTTTTGTGGTATCTACAAACCTTTGATAAGCCAAGACCTGCCTCATTGACAAATGCACTCCGAAGCAGTATCTCCTGCGGATGAGGAAACTCCGCTATGGTGACCTGCAGTAACTCAGACTGCCAGAAGAACTGGTTCAGCCGCTGCCTATCCTGTCCCAGCTTGGCGATCGCAGAAATGTATTAAGATCTAACTATGCATTGCTTGGGAGGCATATAAATAATTAGGATTTTAAACAGTTAATGGTGCCTAATTTCTGTAGTGTGTGAGGATGTTTGGATCTCAAATACAGAATAAGCAAATAATGGCTGGCTTTAATATAGAGTATTGTTCCAAATAGAGCAACAAGAGCAAGGAGCCTTCCAGCCCATTTACGTTAGTACTGACATAACTGTGAACAGGTAACAAGGATGTTTTACGCCAGGAGTCCTTCTAATTACTTTGCAAAGTTAGGCTGTATTTTCCAAAGCGAGTGTAAACATCATTTGAAAACACGACATCTCTGACCGTGCTACAGCACGTAACGCTGAGCACCAGCAGGATGGAGTGTGTCATCAGCCGAGTTCACAAATGCCTGTTTATTCAGACGAGGATAAAACCAGCGTGTTTGCGCTTAGAGGAAAAGCTCTTCAACAGGTTTCTCTGCTATCTGTGACTGACTTTGCTTTGACAGAAAGATCATGAAAATGATGGATTTGTTTGTCAAAACAGTTGCATTTTAGAGCTGAGTTATTTGTTAGATTATGTAAACAAACATAATACAGTAAAAAAATGCGCATTCCCCCCAGGCAAACACAAACCTCATCGTTAGACCTCAGCTGCATGAAATCTTTATAGAAAAATTTAACCAGAAAAATAACTTAATTGGGGTAGGAGCACACCTTGAAGCACATTTTCTGTGATCTCTCCTAGCATTCAAATGAAACCTCAACTTAACTCATCACTGGAAGCTCATGTTCTGCAGACCCAGCCAAGCAACACAGACAAAACCGAACAGCTCATCCGAGCATTGCTCACCGCAGAAGCCATGGATTACCTTACCTTACCTTCTGGGAAACTCATGCACATATCTCATCCACTGCAGCAAAGACCGAGTGTACAAAAGCAGACAGCCACCACACACCACGTAAGTTCGGTTGTTCAGCCTTACTGACCAGGAAGAACAGAGGTACCCAGTTATCAGTGGGTAAACATTTGTATTTTTTGCTCTGTTTTGGGGGGTTTGGGGTTTTTTGTTTGGTTGTTTTTTTAACACAAAATGAACACTGTGTTGCTGACAGTCCAGGCTTCACCCCCAAAAGAGAAATCAACAGAAGAGCTTTAAGGGACAAAAGCAGGAGCTCACAGTAATGCAGTGACTGTATGCTACAAACCAGATAGTGAATAGAAAGGCACTTTATCATTTCTCAGCCCAGCTAAATCTTCAACCAAATCTCTTACTTCATCAGACATTACAACTCTTCCACCTATTTAGAGGCAAATATGCTACTCTGCTCCACAAGCATCAAGTACTTCTTCTCTCAAATTATCATATGAGCATCACAAAATTCAAGCTCAGTAAGCATGCTCAGCTTGTATCCAAGCTGAAGGTTGCTGCTTCTGTTTTGAACCTGAAGCAGGGGTTTGGGTCTCCAAAGCTTTGGCAGCAGGTTTTATTTTCCTCCTAGTTCCTCCTAGCTATCTCAGTTAGCTGAGCAACAAAAAAAAAAAAAAAAAAAAAGAAAGAAGACTTGCAACTCTCAAAATCTCATTTCACCATTTGATCTTGTTAATATCTTTTATAATATCTTTTACTAAACAAGGAATCCGTTAGTTCTAACGTGCAAGCATAGAACGGCTTCCCTAATAGCTTTTTAATGTTCACATGCATGTTCAGATTAACCTAATTGCAGAACTGTTATCTAAATGGCATAGTTTTATCTCCATCTCTATTAATGGTACAGGTGACTTCATCAGCTGAATATGTGCTGTGTCAGGTTGGGTTTTCCTCTTTTACTGGATGTATATTCTACCCTGTACCAAAGGGTGCAGAGCAATGAATATTCATTTAGCCAAAGCACGGAGGGACATCGCCTTCCAGCCCCGGCTGTGGCAGGCCCAGCTCACACCACCACGGCTGCAAGTCAGAGGAACTTCAAGCAAATCACACATTTTTAACATCGCTCTAACATCACCCAGCTAAAGTAGTCGACAGAGCAGTCGGACAAATCGTGCTGCTGGCAGAGACGTCCCGCAGCGGGGAGTGCCGTCAGCAGCAGGGCAGCAGCCTCGTCCACGCACAAAGCTGAACGTGGAAGGAGACACATGACCTGGGTCCTAGGAACAAACAACCAGGCTGGATTGCAGGGTGTAGTTACACGGGCTGGCTGGCTGAACAGCGAGGACAACTGAGATAAAAATCAGCGTGTTTACAATAGGAATAATAAGAGAAGAGATATGAGTAACTGTAATAAAGATGAAAGTGTTTGGCAGCTCTGTCTGTGGTCTCAACTTGGAGCTATTTTAAGATTTTGTTTTGTTATTATCATGTTTTGAATTGTTTCACTCCACAAACAAGTTTTGTGTAAAACGACCCTATTTTTAACAGTGTTTATAGATGATAAGATCTCCAGAAAAGCAACACCTCATTTGCAGACTCATTTTGCAGTTAGAAAACAAGCACTTTAATTAGGCAGACAGCATGCTGTAACTGAAACGGTGAGAATCCCCCTCCCCACCCAAGAAACGCACTTCCCCGTCTGCAGCGTGTGCTCTCCAAGCTGTGCTGGAAGCCCAGCCAGGGTAGCGGGACACCAGCAATCACGTTAATCCAACTGCAGCTCTTCAGACTCAGGTTGGATCGGCAGGGCCACAAAACCCCTAAGCAGCAGATACCTCCCCCACTTCACCAGCTGATCAATGAGAGCAAAACACGTAGCTGTGATGCAGGAGCAGGGCAAAGCTCTGGTGAACACTAAGCCGTTGTCAGCTCATCAGGGTCTACTCACCCTCCCTCAAACTATAAAGAGAACATGTTATAGTCCTGACTGGTGGTATGAGTAGCCTTTGCACAAAAATATATTGCATGCATAGAACGCTTCTAGCAAGTAATCTAATCAGCACGACGAATTAGCATTATTAGCATTACATTATTTATTACATGGTGCTACATGTAAAAGTGTTTGACCTGTACTAACACCCTCCTGCTCCCATTTACAACAGAAACATGGGAGAGGTCGGTCCCTCTCTTGCCTTGCATCCCCCAAGTGTATACGGGACTGGCACATGATGAAGCCACTGCTTAGTATGGGAGAAAAGGTGATGACCCATTGCCTGATTCAAATCCCACAGTTCATTAGTCTTCTCGTTGTCCTTGGGAAGCTTTGGGTCATTCTTTGATTTAATTATGGTGAAAGCGAAAATCATATTGGACATCTTGTAACAGTTTTGTTTCCCAAGGGTAAAAACCTAAAAATATAGCAAAGGAGGGTTGGATGAGGATGGGGAAGAATTCAAAGCTGGGCAATACTGTATTAAATTATATCTAAAATGCACGCAGGCGCGCTGACCATAGGATGGGGGAAGCTGCCCAAACTTGACGCATTCAGGCACACAAGCATCAGACCTCTCCTCTAGTCATGTGATTGCAAAAACAAGAGTCTGGGAAAACGGGGAGTGTTCTGAACACACAACCCCAGAGTGCCCTGCACCACTACCTGATCCTCTCTACTTGTTTTGAATGCAATTGGCTGTGTCTCATCTAAAAATGACTATTCTTTCCATATACAGCATGAAGGGCAGGAAGCCACACAAGATCTTATCTGCAAGGGCATGTGCACTTAGGTGGTGTCTACACTGACAATTTAGGCAATTTTCCCACGGTGGGGTTCGCATCAGAGGAATAACCTTTTGCTGGTAGCACTGTTTGGAGTGATGATGCAGGACAGACACAAATGGTTTCTGATGACTCTTGCATTACTTAGCTCTTCTGCAAGCAAGTTGGGACAACACAAAGGTAAATATGCCTGTGCCTGACTTAGTGTAGTATTTCTGAATCGATGGTGAAGCAATTTGTGAAAACCCATCGAACAGACCAAACAACAGAACGAGACTTTGCAGAGGAGGAGCCAGCATCAACTCTAAGAAAATCCCAGTGACCAAAGCCTGGACACATAATAATAGTAGAAATAATTGAGTAAAAGGCACACCATGTATTAATCATGGGGAACATCTGTTTCATGTTTTGGAATTGCTCATTTCTAACTTGTGGGTAAGAAGCTTTGCTCAAACTCTCCGAGTGCATCATTGCATAGTGAATGACATCAGGCTAGATGTTTAATTACTTCCTGCTTAAAGAGCATACGATACACACAGCTGTCTTCAGGAAGATCTTCAGAAACAAAAACCCACGAGATTTCCCAGGTGTACTTTCAAGAAAGCATGAACATATCTGATAAAGAGTGAGACCGTCAACATGAAGTAGCGACAGGTTACTCATATCAAAAGAATTTGAGGTGAGGGAGAGAAGTAAGAGCGTCAAGGATGGAATATGCACGTGCATAAGTGAAGGGAAGAGGGAACTGAAACAAATGCTTCCGTGACTCGTCTTCCTAGGGTCACTCAAAGCAGTTTTAAACCTGGTTTAACTGGTCAGTGCACCCTCACAAATGAGCGAGCCTTTAGAGCACTGCCCAAGTTTCCTGGGCACACAGGTCACCCACCTCCTCCAGATCCTCCACATCCAGACTCTGCGTGGCTAGATCTGCTGCACATTCACGCCTCTTCTCAAAGAGCCCACTTGGTTGATGAGAGCTCAGAAATGCTGGCAGTGGGAGCAGAATTCTACCATTTAAATTATTACTTCCCAGCAACACTCAGGCTCCTTCCCAACCACTTGACCAGACAGACGCCCACAGTAGAGGCGGCTCCAAAAGACACGGTGTTTGGGAGCAGGCAGCAGGTGGTCCATGGCCTGCAGGCTGGCTATCTCTGTTCTGAAGTGGCATGAATCTAGCAGGCAACACGCCATTAAAGCTGTCCTTTAGCAGTTGACTAAGTTAACAGGAAAAAAGGGTTGAGACTGACATCATCATCGTTACATGAGAAACATCCCCTGTACCATTTTCCTTGTTTTTCTTATAAATTATTATTTTTAATTTAAAAGAAACAAGATAATTCAAATGAACACACTCTAAAATACAGAAAGAGTTGAATAAGCCTTTGTAATTAAGGTGGTGAATGGGGGAAAGAACCAATATCAGAGACATTTTCACTGTCCTAAGAACAGCTCAAAAAAGTCAGAGTGAAGAAATCCAAAATCTGAATATCCATTAATGTGCTCAATCAATCTTATGACTGATCTGTATTGACAGACTTGCAAAAATACCCCATGTTTACTCAAGCAGCACGTATGAAGTAGGACTACAATCAATAACATCCCTGAATCAGCGTTCAAAACATCACTTGAAGGTTGTGCTGGTGATTGAACTACGCATTTCTACACCTTAGCATATTTGTATTCCTTTAAGTGCAACTCTTTGGTCAACCACCCTTTCTACTGAATTATCAAATTACATCCGTAGTATTATGTATTGCTGACAAAACCTTTGAGTTCTGTGTCCACAGAGCTTTTTCTCTGGGTACTCCAACTTATTTTATGACAAATTTTAACAACTGAATTTTAATAGATAACCCACATTATCTTAATTGAAAGAGCAAACATTAACTGAATATAACCTATAGAATCAACCTTCATTATTAGTAGAAATTAACGGATGAAACAGTATTAGAAAAAATATACTCTGCTTTTGAAAACAGGGAAACCTGGATGGATAACAACCAAAACAACTGTTAAAAATGAAATACTCCCTGTCTAATAGCTTAGTCCAATATTCTTGTTTAAAAAACAAACTGATTAAGGGAAGAAAAATGCTGCTGGTCACCAATACAGAGAAGTTGGAGTGGTTGCTCTCTCAGGCCCAGGAATATTTCTGGTTGTCAGAGGCTAAAAAGATTATTTATTGTTTCCTTCCTAAACCCAGCTCCACTGCCACCTGTTCAGAATTTACTATAAAGCTGTTAAACAAGACGAGAACTTTGATGCTGACTGTGAAAACAAGTTTCACTGTATCTGACCCGAGCAGCACTTACTACTGATCCAGAAGCAAAGGAATTTGATTTTTTTCTTTAAGCACAGCTATCTTTTTACCTTTATAAGCTGTTTAAAAAAATGTAAATAAAATAACTCAGTGGACAATAGAGGGCATTCATCCCACAGAAAGACAGCCGCCACCCTTAGACATGAAATATCGCAGCACATTAAGTCATGAGACCCCGCTAATCAAAGCTGACAGGGCCCTGAATGTGATTTCTGCTGAGACTTAGCGATATCATGGGGCACTGAAGCATGCACAGCCTGCCAGACTGCCCCTGTTCATGTGACAATGGCTTTTATTCCCGAAAGGGGCCTGCGAGTGACAAGAGTCCCCTTTGTCTTTAGGCTCCCGCATTCGCAGTGCAAGAGAGGTTCATTCAACCAGCCCCAGACACTCTTTGAAAGGCTGAAGTGTAACATAAGATGACCATGAAACACTAGCTTGCCTTCTGCCTACCCCTCATTCTTCTCGAGCACAGCCTGGCCTATTCAGGGCCTCTCGCAGACTCGCTCGCTCGGCATTACCCTTGGTCTGCTGAATCCCCGCATTGTCCCGGCCCCACCAGCAGCCATCGCCCTTCCCACAAAGCCGTCCGCCCGGCAGCTCGGCCAGGCTCCGGCACGGCTCAGGTCGAGGGTGGTGTGGAGCCACGGCCCCTCCATGGCTCCGGAGAAGGGGACAAAGCTGCCACGTCTCACCTGAAACTACCCGAGCGGGGCTGTTACGCCCTTCTGCCCCTTCACACGGTGGGGAGCAGAGCGGGGCCCCTTGCACAGCTCCAGCGCGCCCTGCCCTGCTCCTCCGGCAGCTGCCACCTCCATTCACACGAGGATGGATAAAACCCCCACGCAGGCCAGGCGCCTCAAGGCGCCCCTTGGTCCCCGCTCTTTCCTTTACCTCTCACTGTACCACTCGTTCTCCCGCACCCTGGGAGCACTAGTGCCATCCGCTGGCCGGCGCTCCCCATCAGATGCCTCCTCCCCGCAGCTACTATTTTAAGCTGCTAAATCCGAGTAAAGTTACCTCCATCTGCGCCATCTCCCACCACCGCCCGCTGCCTGCACACAGCCGGTGGTTCCCCTGCTGCCCCACGACACCCTGCCCAGCGGGCGGCTTTCCCAGCAGCACCCCGCAAATGTCCCAGCTCCTGCCATTCACAAACGGGTTCAGCTTTTGAACAGCTCCGCTAAAACGAAGTGGGCAGGGAGGGCCAGGTGCACTTCAGAAACAAATAACTGCCATGGCCCTCACCAGGGATCTCTAGGATCTCGTTTTATGAAGAGATCCTTCTCCAAAACCTCCGCGAGGGAAAGAAGCCTCAACCCACGGGGCAGAGCTGGGGACCTCCACGGTTTGCACACCGCAGCAGGACACGCATCAGAACAGGCAAAGGGAAAAGTGCGCTCTCCAATAAATGCCTGGTGTCTTATTGCAAATGCAGCAAGAAAATAAATAATGACAGCAAGGATTTAGAAGGATTTCTGTCCTTTCAGGTGAGAGACAGAAGAGCCAAAAATCCTGCATGTGAATTGCTTTACTGCCCTATCTGAAAGATGGGGAAGAGCAGGACGAATAGACATGCCACAGCCCACTGCAAGTGCTCAGAGCTCTAGTTCCAGGTTTTTCGGGGTTAGTTGCTGTGAACTTAGGTATGATCAGTCCCCAAGGGCAGTAAAAGATTTCCTGTTATTCTTGAAGATGATTCTATTCATCCTTCTGGCAACAAAACAAAACTAGAAGAAAGTTATGGCCGAGGGTAAGCAACAGTTGAGGTTTCCTGTTCTTCACACTGGGAATGACTAGTAAATGAGCTTTTCTTTGGAAGAAAGAACAGAAGAACAATTCCACACAAAAAATTTTAGAGCTTTCCAAAGGCAGATCTAGAAAGAACTGCATTTCTAATGAAAACAATAAATATCTTTGGAGCCATGAACTTCAAAATCACACTTGAATATAGTCAAATACTACATTTCTGTTAGGATTTTCAAACACTCATGTTAAAAAACTGATTGAGCAAAAAAGTAAGTTTCAAGCAGTTACCTGTGAAGTTTTTATCAAATAAGAAATATACTTGTTTCAGTATTCAAAGAAATCAACAAGAATGGCAATCCATGATTTCACTTGGGAATTGGGCTTTACTGAAGAATAGGATTTTAAAAATGCTATTTGATCTTTTTCTTTTGCTAAACAAGATCAAGCTGTTCTACACCAAAGTGAACCATCTTAGTCCGAGAAAAACAAACTTATGGTTTTTGCCTTCGAAAAAAAAAAAAAGAAAAAGAAAAAGCATCAACAGCATTGTACTTTCCTCACGAGAACACTTGCAAGGCTACCAAGACATCACGGTGATGCCAGAGATACTGCAAGTACTCTAAACCACAGTGTAAAACATACCAAATTCTGGGTTTGATGAACTCCTGCCAGCATCAGCCGCTCAAACGCAAACACACGAGCAGTAACACAGTTTGAATATGAGCCTCAATGGTAAAGAGGCTTCAAAACTCCAACTGAGAACCCTTTGGTTAGGGTAATCACATGAGAACAGAGAGATTTTCCAACGCCTCCTCACGGCAGGCAGATTGGTGATAGCACAGCAGGTCTATGACCAACTACTAAAATCCTTCCTTTTCTTGCCAAGGACAAGGAAAACAAAAAAGAACACAACCATCCCCTTAACTTCTCCAAATTAAACCCTATTAACCTGGTACTTTCAAAGGTCAAAAACAGGGTGGAGGAAGGATTCACTGGCATTCTGTACTCAGCCGTTAGGAAGAATGAGGTTGAACACAGCCTACTCCTGCACATGGGAAGACCATGCTAAGCTGAACCATTCACAGTGTGCAGCTGCTGTGATGAAACGGAATTCACATTGAAATGCATCCAAAAAAGGACACAGACATTACCAGAGAACTAGAGAGCTGGGTAGGTAAATTTCTTTGAAAGACATGACCCACCTCTTTGTAGTCGCCCTTGTGATAAAGATGACTGACGTGCTCAAGCAAATAGTTCCGGTCTGCTGTATGGAGCTGGTAAATGCTAATCAGAGGGTCAAGAAGATTAGCCGGGCACTGGGCTAGTATTCTGAGTACACGGGCCTGCAGCTTCTTCAGCTTGGTGCCAGACTAAAGAAAAAGAAAATTTAAAAAAAAAAATCAAACACAGATTTAGTAAAGATGGCTACAATTCAATGGCAGTTGAAAATGCAGCTTGTTTAAACAGTGGAATAAGCCAATTCCTTGGGAAGGGATTCTCCGATTTCCCCATGGAGTCTGCAAGCAGAAATCAGAACAATATGATACACATCTTTTTCACAGAATCCAATTTAAAAACATAAATTGTTTGCGGGATAATTCTGGAAAAGGCATATGGCCTTGTGTAAAAGTCAAATATGAAACTGGAAAAATGCCCTCTTTTACTAACACAGCTATTTAGAAATTCTCCCCTCTTGTTCCCAGCACAAAATCTTTGAATCCAGCAGCTCCCCTCAAGGGAGATTTCACCTATCAGGCATAAGAATTCAATTTTCATTCCCAGGCTTGGTTGTGGGTGCAAGAAGGGCAGGAAAAGCAAAAGCATCATCAAAAGATGCACAGATACAAGTGTTAATCCTTGTGTTCCCACAGAATCATCCTCTTATGACACAGGAGTTTCAGCACCAGTAGCACTCCGCTGCACTTTGCAGATACTGTAATGGCAGAGCTCAACATCTAAAAAGAACCATTTGGAAAAATGGGAAATGAAACAACACAAATATAAAAGTATCTTGCTGTTCACAGGTAAAAGCACACTAAAAAAAAAGAAAATCTCAGGAGGTCAGAATATACGAAAGCATAAGGAATTGTAAACCTTAGGACGCATAATCTGATGGCCCAATGTTACAAAGCCAAGCATGCAGCTGCTAAAGGGTCATACTGTTACCATTTTCTGCATTCCCAATGATAAAAGCTCCCCACCATATGGCAGGAGTTCAGCAATCGTACAGTAACTGGCTTCTATTTGCAGGACTGTAGGAATACGCAGAGAAGATTACTGCAATTGGGTTTATCCTGACAGGAGGGATGTGAGTTCCAGTGGGAAAGGCTGCAAGATCAACGCTTGATCAAAGTGGTTTGATCTGGAAAGATGGAAATCCCAACTTGGAAGGGGAAACAGAGCTCTCACATCACAGCTTCTAATATTATTTCATTTCCAGGCCAGCATATAACAGACAACAGCGTCCCAGTACGAATTTCACACCTCGTCACACCATGCTTGTATGAGACTATGGAGAAGATGCTGGACTACGGACTAAAGTGAAATTTGGGACACTTGTGGAACATTAAAATCTGTTGCCCTCTCCTTTCTCCCAGCTCTCTTCTTCTCTCTTTTTCTAACCTGTTGAACAGCAGGATGCTCTTTTATCCAAAGCTGCAACTCAGTGGTGATGTAATACCCGAGGGAATGCCCTTTCCCCTTCCAATCGCTGCTGCTCTCCAGCATGTCCAGGAGTCCTGCCAATGGGTCCTCCAGTCCTGCAAAGCCCCGCCTGATTTCTTCCTTGAGCTGCCGAGATACAAAAACACATTGTCATGTACAAAAAGATTAGTGAATCCTCCCTCCCCCCAGCTGAACACAAAGCTTTATTTTTTTTAATTTAATCTATTCACAGAGGTAACTGTTGCTATTCAGCCACCATCCGTGCCTCCAGTGACTTTTCATGTCATTACAGATTCCTTCATGGCTCACTGCACCTCAAACCCAATGGGAAAAGCAGCAATTGTCCACACTAATTATCCCATAAAGACAGAGAAGTTGTTCTGTGGGGCAGACAAAGGGGCTTGGGATTTGGGGGAGGGGGAGAAAAGAAATGAAATGAGCTGGAGAAAGGGGTGTTACTAGGAAAATGGCAATATTGAAGGTAGATAACCGGGCTCAAAAACCTACTCATCTTCTACCAGGCCTACAAGTAACAAAGCATATAAACCCCTCCTTCCTCATTCTTGTACCACAGACTTTCATATTTGACCTTATATCCACTTCAGCCACAATGGCATAATCCTCCTCGTCATAACAGGAGTATTCGGGAGTATCAAAATAGTTTGGATTTCACACACAAGATGAAAAAGAAACACCAGAGTTCAAACTGTCAGATCGCCATCATGCAAAAAAAATCTATGCTCCTTCCCTCCAAACCTACCTGAGCAGGGTATTTTCTGTCGACTACCCACTGCCACTGCCCGTCAGGCACCGCACACCTCCGCAAGTCTAAAGGCCATACGAAGTGGCTCGGAACATGGGAAAACGCCACGCCATAAATTTTAGGAATCCCAGGGTGATGTGTTTAGAAATGTGAAGGAATTGGACACTCACTTTGTGAATGTTAATAGGCTACTTACTACCCATCTGGTAGAAGTGATAAATTAGCAGTACTGAGCAGTATCTTTATAATGTTTACATTAGAAGTAGTTTCCAAGGAGCTCGGAGGGTTGGCAGGGTGAAGAAGTGGCATCCTTCAGTACCCACACAGGACCTTTCACCGCATGGTACATGCGCTGGCGTGGAGCAAGGCAAAAGCAGAGACGGAAAACAAGAAATCACTACGAGCAGCTGCTCTCTTTTCTTTTCTGGCTAAAAAGCAAAATCCAAAAGATGCTCAGTCCTGCCTGCAGCCAGCACTTGTAATTTACTGTATATGATGGCCCCAGATGTAGCTTCCAATGGAAACAACATAAAGTTTGAAGAATGACATGGAAAACAAAATCTACAGAAAATTTGCCAATGAATTTGTTCTTTTTTATTCATCAACAATATTTACTGGAAGACAGTTATTTTCCATAGTGTCTTTCATGTCTGGAAAAACCACAAAACCTATCGTTTACGACAGAAACTGTTTCTTTCTCACTAGATTATCAAACACAGTATGAAAAAGCCGATGACTAACAAAGATGTGACTTTAGATAACAGATTTCTCCCTCTAAGTATTTTTCCCTGTGGCAAGAATTTGCGATGTTAAACATTGGGCTCCAGCTTCACTGCGAGACTCAGCAGAAGGAAAAGGCAAGCTCTTATCCAACCACAAATATCCAACACAACAGCCAAAGGAAAACAGAGCAACTTGCCAACTAAATTGCACTGTTTATAAATGGCCTCTCTTCTTTTTCCTTTTTTTCCCCCCCAAAGCCCCACTTCATCATATTTAGAGCTTTCACCACACCGCTCGGCTCCTCCTTGGGCCGGAGTCAGAGCCTGGGCTTTGGCAGGATGGGCTCCAGCAGACACCAGGTCCTGTGAGAGCACAAGCCTGCTTTCACACGCAGAGCATCTCCAAACACTGACACCACTGCCAGGAGTGCTGTTGGTACCTAGACTGAGTCTTGCCTCCATACCAGCTAGACTTGGACAAACAGGGGAAAAGCCTTCTTCAAAACTTCCCAGCAATCTGAAGACTTCAACTATGGCAGGTACAGTTTGAGGGAGGAAAAAAACCAAAGGGAAAAAAAAAGGTACGAGACAACTAAATCAGAGAGGAAAGCGTGCTGTGCTGCCTGGCTGGCTCCTCTCTCTGCCAGAGAAGGATTCATCTCAAACGTGTAATTGCCATTTCCATTTCAATTGATTCCCATGGCAAGGAATGCTCCTTGGGGGATTTCTACAGCTTGACAGATGATGGGAGTAGGAAAATTTTGCTGACGTTCAAACTACATACTCCTGTATTCAGTTTTGGTCCCTTATTTCTAGTTACATAGCTCAGGGCAGTCCGCCGATGCTTCTTGTTATTCTAAAATCATCTTTCCTATGTAGGAAATGACCACTGCTTATAACCATGCTCCAGAACCAAGGTCACGCCACGGACCGATACGGATTGGAGACCAGTGAGCTGATTCACACCAGTTAATAGCCAGTATTGACTCACATTCACACACAGCCACAGCCAGAGGAGCTCCCTGCCATTTAAATGTCAATGGAGCAGACGGAGAGGTATTTAAGTCAACTTCCCTCAGTTACTTGAGCCGGGCAGTTGGATGGAAGCAGCAGCACCACCCGCCTCCAGCTGCACACTGAGGGCAGGTCAGCAGCTACCCCTGAAAAAAGCGTCTCCACTGGTGGGTGCACTGCATGTCTGCAAGGGGGCGATGCCCTCAGCATGGATGAGCCCATCTCAGTGACAGCGTGACGAGCACCTGTCAGAACCCACGGGGGACGCTCATGCACTCCCCACCTTAGAGACAGCTGCTGCTGGGGCACTGCCTGGTCCCACCGCAGCCCTCCTCACCTCTCTGAAAAGGTTTTTCTCATGGTTCAGACATGCACCCTCCAGGTTCAGAAACACGCTTCTGCCCTTGCCCGCAGCCACATGGCGCTCCCCGAAGGGTGGGCCCAATGGGGACAGACCTGGCCCACCAGGGAGCTGCAGCTTGCAACTCTGCAAAACCCCGCGTCCCACTGGGATGACCCTTCCAGAAACAAACAAACTGAATAAGCGGAGCTGGAAGTGTGACTCATGGGGATCCTCAAGCTTTTCCACCCTCAGTTTTTTGCTGCGGTGCTCTCTGCCCAAGGACACGTCCATGGGAGGCTTTGTCTTTTTCAGAGTATTTGTCTTCACAATCCACACACATCCCAGGGTACACAGTGCAGAGATTTTGATGATTACTCTTTCCTACTGTTGTTTTGTGGGATTAACTGCCCTCAAGACCTAGCAAATAATATTTTTTTTCCTCCAACTCCATCAAAATTTGATAGAAAGCTCAAGGCTTCAGAGTTGCTGAGCTCAAGTCTACATTGGTGACCGACCATTTGGAAAGGCACCTCTCGCACTGTGTTTCCAGTTGTTTGATTGTTCTGGCTGGGAACCATAGACTATCAGTAATGGAAAGTCTAAGTGCAGCAGACGAGGACAATGACTCAACACTCCATCCACCTAGGATGGAGCACGTACACCAAGGTACTCAGTCACGCCAGCCATTTCACACAGAACACACTCCGTGTGGCTATGTGGTGAGCTGCAGGTTTTTGAGTCTTTTAGAAAAAGAAAATCTTTGCTATGAACCTGCCTGAACAATGCAGAGTTAAACATGAGAAAGCTGACGCATCTAGTGTTTTTGTTAGTTTTCAAGCTCCCAAATTTAGATGAAGTACATCTTACTCCCTATGAGAAACCTCCATGTAGAGCCCATAGGATGCTGTATAAAAACATGGCACTAATTTTAGACAGGCAGTGTAAATTGTATTAACCACTCTAAAAGGCAAAACCAAACCAAATCAGAAAAAAATAGTAAAAATACTTTGAATACAAAAGCTTTGATATCATTCCACTTAGCAAAGAGCACTTTTCTACTGACTTCAACCTTCATTTTTTTCAGCTCGTAGAAATATTCTTCCCCCTCCCCCAAAGATCCTCCATTTAATGGACAAAAAAAAAAAAGTGTTTAAAAGAAAACAAAAGCAACTTTGGTTTTATTCCCTCTGTAACTCAGCCCTGTAAACTTCAGCTCTTTTATATGAGCCCCTGAGCTGCTTCACATCACACAGAGCTACCTTTTCTTTTCACTTCTTGCTGCAAATGGATAGGCTCTTCCCCTGTGTGCTGGAACTGAAAGCCATCATGAAGAATTGCAGGTCTGACCTAAGTGTTCTGTGTCTGGACATGCTCTGCATGCAGTTATTAACTGTAGCGTGGAGGGGAGGCTCAGCCTTACCTTCTTCATCTCTTTCTTTGTCCAGAGAAGTTGAAGCGTTTTCAGCAAGAGGAGTGGGTCCTGGTCTGGAGGAGGGGGAAGAGAAAGAGAGGGAGAGAGAGAAAAGGGGGGAGAAAAACAAAACAAAACAGATTTATTGGCTCTGTACAGGCAGCCTAGACACACTGGTGCATTGTTTCACTGAAGAGAAATCAGCTACTCCATGCCACTGTGTTTGAAACCACCAACCTTCCAACTGTCAGTCAGGATTACAGTGCTAAAACCCCTCACTCTGAAATCCTAACAAAATAACAGACATCATCCATGCAAGGCTTTAACTAAACACCCACACGGGCTCAAATACTGAAAAGCTGTATTGGTGCCTTTACAACTAAATCATGCTGCTGCTATGCATCGAATCCATCCCCACTGCCCCCCTCCCCCTTTTTAATATTAAACCAAAATGCTCCTAGAAGAGTAAGCATCTTGCACAGGCTGGAAAGGATTATAGCACCCTACTTTTTAATGAAATGGCTCTGAAGTGTTAACCTCATCGCAACCCACGGATGGAAGCCGTGAGAGGGGGAATTCACGGGCAGGTCAGGCCGGGTGTGCTGGGGAGCCCAGCCTGCCCACGGCGGGCCAGCCATGCGGGGCTGGGAGCAGGCTGGGCTCAGGTGTGCTTCGGGCAAGACAGTGTTTGAGGAAAAGGACAGATGAAGTGCTGCTGTGATGAGTGGCAAGACTAAAACAAAAGCAAACGAGTGATCAATTATCTCCAAAGAACATTGTTTGGAATTTTTTTCTTTTACTTTTCACCTAGTTATTTGAGAACTTGCATTCAGTCGCTATTTTGCATCTATTATCATTCGTCATACCAGTATTATTCATCATACCATTATTCATGATACCAGTATTTCTGAATCAAATGTTTAGGAATATTTCAATTTAAAAGCAGTAACTTTTTTGATATCTGGTTCTACTTAATTTGCAATCACTTATTTATGAAACCATGACTCAGAATATTCTGAATGAAAATCTTCTACTGCATCAACAGTTTAAATGCGAAGAATGAATTTAAAAATCTGAATGAGTTCTCCAAAACCACTCCTCATAGACTTAGCGCACCTCCTCTTACATTTTCACAAAGCCAAAAGAAAAATGTTAAACTGAAAGGGAAACATCCTTTCAATCACCCTCTGCATTCTATGGTTCCTAAATAGCCCACTTCCAAACGCTAGATTTCTTGCTTAGTATCCTGTCTCACTTCATATTTCAGGTCACAAAAGCTACTTCAACTGTGAAAAGCTCTACCTCATCCAACTAAACTCTAAAGCACTGCATTTATAAAATATTTGAAGTAGCAAGCTGATTACTGGTCGAGCCAAGAGAATTATAGTATTCCCATTATCCACTAACATCTGGGAAACACCAGCCAAATTAAAAATGCCACATTTACAATTCATAAGATAATGTTTTCTCTCATCTCTGGCTCTTCTGAAAACTTGAACTCTCCAAACACTAGCTGTTCTCAGCTACTGCCTCTCCTTTTGGAAAAAGAAAAGTCTCATTTTACAACAAAACAGAAGAAAATCCAGATCCCTATTCCCACAAAATTAGCAACTAACAGTCAAATTCAGCCCATGTGTGTGTGCATGCATATATACACACTCTGCTCTTGGCCTGACTCCCAAAGAAATTTATACACACACAGGAAAAAAAATTAGAATGCAACCCAGTGTGTAACCAAATACACTGTAAATCTGAACTGTAATTAATGCAGGAACAAGCTGGAATGATACAGGAAATGAGAGCAGTTAGGAAAGCAGTGTTTCACTTCAGATACAGCCAATAATTCAACTTGTTAAAAAGTTTTCTAAACCTCAATCAACAAAACGTGCCCTTTTCTTATGTGACTTTTTCCTACCTTACCTCCCTGTAACTGAAATCTGATCTCACCATTTTTTCAACACATAGATGCATGAAAACCATCTCTCCAGTCAATTTTAAACGACTCAGCATGTTGCCAGCATGCCACTGTTCAAGCAGGGGTAAGTAGGAAACAACCTTCCCCCTCCCCAAACCCTGGAAGTGAACGAACCCATAATGTAGTTATTTCCATGACATGTCTCGGGGCGCTGCTGAGCCCTGCTGTTGGGCAGCCAGGCCAGTGCCGAACCACTGGGGCAGCAGAAGGTCAACCACAGGAGGACAACCACCCATCTTCTCGCATGACCTGACCAAAAGGTTTTGCTCTCCGTTCAGTCTGGGCATAAGGAAGAGGCAATCCCCAGAATGGTGAGTGAACAAGGAGGGAAAACACAGAAATACTAACCAAAGCCTTGGAAGAATCTAAGGATGAAACGTAGTCACCCCTAGAGCCAAACAGAAATGAGACAACAAAGCAACATCATGTTTTTGCCTAGTCCCACCAGACTGGAAAGACGCTGCAGTTCAGGTTGGATCTTGAGCTATTGTATCCAGCTAACCTCCAGCTAGGATAGAAGATGTAAATGTCAAGGCCCACATCATTTTGGCTCCTGAAAGAAATGAACAATTCATCTTTTCTTTCTCCTGCAAGACCAGTTTGGGAGACTGGCCTCCTTGTGGTTCTCCTGGCCCCCCTAAATAGTAAAAAACGAGTGTCTTTGGCATGGATACTGAGGCTATAACAGTACCGTTATGTTCCCATTGGAATATCAGATAAGTTCCTGCTCATCCACATCTGAGAAGGAACCAGAGAAGCAGCAGGAAACTAATGCCAGGATATCTGAGGAAAAAGGACAGGACCTTACAAGGAGCTTCACAAGCTTTCCAGAACAAATCCGGAGAGCAGATGACTGCTCAACATAAAAGGGAGAGAGGAAGAAATACAAGGGAAGGAAGAACAAAATAAAGAGAGTGAAAACCAAATCACAAGTGCATCCAGGCTCAATTCAGAGGACAAGAACAGGAAAATTCTGGAGTGACCTCCTGACACTGTAGCAGGGGCAATTAGCAGCAATTACCAAGATACATGTATTAAACCAGTGACAGAACAGTGCCTGCGAAAGTAAGGATGGGTCACGGAGGTCAGAAAAACATCTTCATGTGTCACACCACGAACACCCAGAATCCCACTTCTAAAGAAAAGTTAAATTCTGCAGAGGCTCCTACATACTGAAGAGCAATCCAGCTATTAGCAAGTGTTATTCAATGAGCAAAACAAACAAAGCAAGGATGAAGTCATGTAAAACACCAGCGTGGCAAGTAGGAGAGCATCAGCTCGCTCTGCTCCCCGTTGTGAGCAGCCAAGGATGGCCAGGTCTACCGTGATGGAGAGGCCAAGACATGCCCCAGGCAGCTGATCCTAGACCAAGCTCAAAGAGAGGGTGCTCAGTCTGACACTGATCCTTCACAGCTCCAAAAAAAGGGGGTTGCAGACCATAAAATAGCTGGCAAAGCTTCACCAAAACAAGGCTATAGCACTTTGGTGGTGACCTCAAAAGGACACATCTGCACCCACTCCATCAGGACAAAAATGACCCCGGTTTCTTCATCTGACAGCTTCTCCAAATAGTATGTTCCTGTTTTAAATATTTTGACACTAGTATCTTTCCTCTCAACATTTTTCATTCTGAAAATAAGTTTCCTCTGCCCTGAATCTGGTACCAAAATTGGAGGAGATGGTAAATCAAATGTTTTCCAGTTCTCAATATCTGTGGTTACATTTCAAAACCATATAAACCACAAGGCTTACATTTTTAAGTTAGAAAAGTGCCTTTGAGGAAAGCCATAAACTACTTTCTGTTCGGTCTCCCCTTTTCCTTTGTGCATACATCACTCAAAACCTGCTGTGATCACAACAAAAGCGGTGCCCGCAGGCTGGTGAGGTAAAGCAGTGGTTTTGCTGTTGTGTCCTTGCAAAATTCTGCTGCATTATTCACCGGTTCTGCTGAAATGCCCTGGCAAGGGAAACCCACTTTCTGAGTGAGGCTCCTTGTGTGTCTCACACAGGGAAAGTGAGACACCCAACCCCAGAGGAGGAATTTACCAATGAAAAAATCTCTTGACTTTTTCATTCAGTCAAATGCCATTAGGGTGAGAAACACTGGCACGGGTTGCCCAGAGAGGTGGTAGATGCCCCACAACCCTGGAAATACCCAAGGTCAGGCTGGACGGGGCTCTGAGCAACCTGATCCAGCTAAAGGTGTCCCTGCTCACCGCAGGGGGTTGGACCAGATGGCCTTTAAAGGTCCCTTCTAGCCCAAACCATACTGTGATTCTATGATTAAACACCCCACAGCCTAAGATCTGGAAGAATTACAGTCAACTAATTAAAAGGTAGAGAATGTAGGAAAAAAACAAACCAGCCCCAAAAAAGGAGGCTAATGTGACTGAAATGCAGGACCACATCCATCAAAGAGTCAATTACAGCTGAAATTCATGGACAGAGAAGGCCAAGAACAAAATGCTGATGGTTAATTCTCCTTTAGAGCTTATACCTCTGCCTTGCAAATAATCAGGATTTTAATAAATGTTTAATAAAATACACAACAAACCCAGCCCAGCCAGTAAACAATCAGTGAATTTTTACTATTATGTATTGTTTTGTGTGCCTTCTGTCCCAATAAATCCCTGAAATCTGTCCTCTGTGAAAACTCCTGTTCATCTCAACAAGCCTTTGAGATATTTTTCTGAAAGGAAAATAAAGGTTCTAGATAGTCAGTGTCACCATAAGTGCAGCCAGCCCATTTGCACTTCGAAAATAAAATAGATAAATGTATTGGCAATGCATAAACTGGGGAGCAGAGCTCTTCAGCCAACTCCTGTTTCAGCAGCATGATGGGTACACCCAACGCTGTGTCATTTAAATTGCATCTGAAACCCAACAAACAGTATGCTATGCAGATTAGGAATCAATCAAAGCCTCTTATCAAAACCTACTTTGTCTTAATTTTTTTCAGAAAAGTGCCTGTAGTTCACACCGAGCGTGTGCTAACTTTGTAGAGGAGAAGGCTGATAGGGAACAGAAATAATATCACTTACGATGCAAAAAGATGGATCCATTTTCTAGTGACAAATTTTGAACCTCTAAAAACAAGAT